TGATGTTCTTGTTTCAGCTTCTCTGCCAAGTAGCACATTCCTGGACAATGATCCTCATAGGTGGGAGAATTAAAAGACAACTTGCACTTCTGTTCAACAAGAAAGAAACAACAATCCCTACTAATGGCAATATGCACAACATACATGTTATTGTAGACAGTGCCATGCCTAGCCATGGTGAAGCTAGATGAAAGAAATGTCAGGACAGTGGGTCTTATACTTACTGAAAATTTTGTTATTTTTATTTTGTTCATTGTGGATTTTTTTGCATTAATTTTGATTCCTAAAAATATTGCATTGAAATATTATCTTCAAAAAATTAATACTTTCTGTATTCTTGAAACCAACATAAGATTGTATATCAACTATACTTGAATTTATTTTAATTTGAACTACTGAATAATATTTTAACTATATTTCTTATTTAATAAGAAAAAGAATAAATAAATCTTCTTGTATACTTGAAACCAGTATGATTGTATATCAACTATACTTCAATAAACAAATAATTTAAAAAGAAATAAATATTTTTTTTGTATATTTGAAACCAGTGTTAGATTGCATATCAACTCTACTTCAATAAAAAATAAAAAGAAAAAGAAAAAATTTATTTATCTTCATCACTCTAGAATTTCTGGCCATAAGCTTTGTGGACAAATCCTCCTTTATTCCATATTTCTCTCCCCAGTTAGCAATATTACATTAAGGCTCAGTTGTATGCAATTTCAACACAACCCAGGCTGACTGCGCCTCCTATGTATACCAGCAATTATCTAAGTCAAGACACAGATAACATTACCTAAGTTAACACTGTGAGGAAGAATCTTTTAATATATAAACATAATATTTATGCTTTCTCTGCTGGTTGTGCCTTAATTATAATACTTTTAAAAATCCTTGAGAGATCTATAGACACCAACAAGTTCATACACAAAACATAATATTTGAGAGAATTTGCCTATACACAAAGGGAAATTATTAGCAAAACCAGTAGCTAAATTACAGGTTGCTCAAAACAAATGAAAAATCCATTATTTTTACATATAAATGAGGAAAAAAGGACTTTCCTTAATTCTATCACGTTACCATTATCAACAAAGAAAAGCCATAAAGAGTAACATATATACTGTTAACTGGTTGCTAACCCAAGTTTTTAGTTGGTTTTTAAGAGAATAAATCCTAAGGCCTGAACCCCACTTTTGCTCAATGTAAGATTGAGGCAGGTAATAGAGGGATGCAGGCAGATAGAATTCAGGACCCCTGTAAGTTTCAAGGCCCTTGTAAGTTTCAAAAAGCTCCAATCAAACTCAGCCACACAAAAAGCACACTTAGATAGACCTCAACTCTGATTGGTCATGCTGTATGCGAGCTTATTGATTATGCCCTGTGCAAATGAAGCATTGTACTTTCAGCCAATCAGGAGTGGGTTGTGATGTTATCAGTTCAGTTCTCTCTTTGGTCTAGGAAGGGTGGAACTTTCTCTTCTCAGGAGGCAATATAAGCTGCTGACCCCTACAGCCCTCACAATATTGTCCCTTGCAGCTCGTTCCCAGTAGTAAAAGCTTTCTTTTTTCACTCACTGAAAAAGCCTTATTGGTGGCTTCATAAAGAGGGCTACATTCTTCATCGCCTCCAGGACAAAATCCTGGGAAAAGAGCAGCGTTCTCAGCCTGTAACAAGATTTCTCTTATTTGATGAAATAAGAAAGGAAATGCATTTGGTGATGATGAAATTAATGGCAGAATTTAGAGTTAGTGCAAAATGATGCATTGTGCTCTCCCATTTCTTCACCACTACAACATTACATGTAAATGCAGAGATTTCTTTCTCCTATGCTGAACATGTTCACTTGGCAGTAGAAATCTCTCTACTGAACTTATTTCTCACCTTCCCTATACTGCCAAACTAGAGTGGCTCACACTTGTTGCATTTCTACAGCAGCCAGTCTTTTCTTAACCCACAGTAATCTGATAACTAAGAAATATACATGAAGGTCACCAGTGACCTACTCAATAAATTTTCCTGACTTTCTGCAGGACTTGTCACCTTAAACCTTTCCACCTGAGGATTCTCTACCCTGGTCCCTATCCTTACATCTTTGGTTCTTCCTCCTTGTTTTCTTTGTGGGAATCCTCTTCTTTTTGATCCCTATATATAATCATTCCTTGCAGGTCAGCCCTTTTGGCACCTTTTTATCAGTGAAGAACACCAGGTAACACTGTGTTACACACCTCATAATGGGTCTTGACACCACACTGGATTATAAATCTTGGTTGAGAATTGCTGATTACAAGATAAAAATGCTTTTTATCCACCCTGCAGGGCTCACGATGTTCTTGGCCTGCTTTCCAGCCTTGTTACAAATACCACTTTTGTCCTTTACAGGTCCTTGACCTTTACCTAAATTGCCTCATAGATGCCCTATACATCATATCTTCATGACTAGTGGTGGTGCTGAGACACAGGTCGGACTCAGCTGTGCAGTTAACCACTAAACAAACGAACAAAGTACCCAACCGAACAGTATAGAGAATAATATACAAAATACTGCATGGTTATTTGTGTTAATGATTGGTTGGTAAATAGCATGACAGCCATCAATTTGTAATCAATTAATAATACTGTTTTCTTTGATGAAGCTAGTTTTGGTAACCTCTGCCTAGTGTAAAATGATTTGTGATAAATTATAGCTTTTTATTTAAAGCAGTGCAAAAAATCTATTTCCTCTAATGAGTCATCATCAAACGATTCTGGATAGTTCTTTGAAATTTATACCACAGAAATAGTGTAAGTTGGAAAAAAAAAAGAACCAAGGTAGGCTTAAATCACTGTGCACTAAATTTCGTCCCCTCAGGATTCAAAATCAGTAACCAGGAAAGGAAAAAAAAAAGAAGTGGGAAGTCCTGGGTCTGAGTCATGGGTACTGGGAAACATCAGGATTCCTATTGCGGAATTCAGAGACTGAAAAAACTAAAAATATTTGTTTTCTCGTTAGTGTAGCTTTTTTAATATTTAGTTTTACTTATATTAATTGATATGACTTTTTAGAAGGAAATTAAAGTCAACCTAAATAGAAGGGTGTATGTATGTGGCAAGGGCCTCTCACCTCCCAGCTCCTCCCCTTCTCTACCCTTGAGAGTGATAGAGTCTTGCAGCAAATAAAGTATCAGAGTTATGCTTTGTAGGCCAGCAGAAGTAGCAGGAGGAAGTTTTTTTCTATTTTATAGGTGCTCTAGTCTGAAGAATGTAAGGGTCCGCTGTCACCCTCTTAGGAAGCCAGGAATGGCTGCCCCGAGGCCCTGACTCAAGGTGGGTGGCAGGGTGGAGATGGGGCCAGGAGAGAGAGTGGAGTAGTTAGCAGAGGGGATGAGAAAGCAGGATCTTTCACGTGCCCATCTGAGATACATGCCCTACACACTGGAAGACACCCTAATGGGGACAAGCAAGAAACATTTTGAACCACCGTCAGGACTGTGGATGATGGGCTCTTGGTTTAAATGGGCACTTTCCGGTCATACCTGCACACCCTTCGAGACATAGTGGCAATCATATGAGAAAGGCCCTGGGAAACCCGGTGATACTGGTATCACTATGCCATAGGCTTCAATTCATTATGTATTTACTGAATACATACCATGTGCCAGGCAGTGGGAAACTAAGGAAGAAAATACTCCTTGAACCTTTGCAGTGATGAAGGGATGCTATTCAGTCAGATCTCCACCTCACAGGATGCAAGGCCATGCACTCCTTATCACCAATGGCAGTTCCACATGTGTCTGTGATTATTTGATTACTGTGCCTCAGGCTGGTAGCTCTATGAGAGCAGAAAGGAGTGTCTCTCTTTACTGCTGTGGCTTAGAGCTAAGCATAGATTCTAGCATTTGACAGGCATCCAATAAATACTGTTGATTGCCTGAATGTTACCGATGCATTAACACTTTGTGGGGCGTATTAGCCTATTTTATAGGCGTGGGATCAGCCATAGGATACCCAAGACCACACAGAAGTGATTTTCAGATGAGCTGGAAAGAGATTTCAAAACAGCTCATCTCACTTCACTACGAGAGTCTCCCATGTCATGATTCTCCCCCTGGATAGGAGTGGCTCAGGTTGGTGGGGTAGCCAAAGAGGAACAGGCATACTGGATAAATATTAGCGACACGAAAGGGGTATGAACCCGGTGAGGGGGGCAAAGGTGGGGGTCCCCAACTCTGCTTAAATCCCGCCCACCGAGAGGAAGCAGAATTGGGTGGATCACTTGTGCAATCTGCTCAGAATCCCAATTCAGAGGAAAGTGGAAAGGGAACGCCCTGGGAGGGGAATGAGGCAGAAGGGAGAAGAAAGGGGTGTGAGGAAGAGGAGTGGTAGCAGTTCTGTATTGCGTCGTGTCTGTTGCGGCGAGACAAGATCCTTGGTCCCAGCGGCGGGTGTCAAGGTGATTCATTCATCCAGCGCCACTTGGCAGCCACGGTTAGTTCACCTGCGCAGGTGGGGCGCCAACGCTCGAGGTGCTTACCAGACGGTGGCCTAACAAAATAACTCCTCCTCAGTTTGGAAGTGGTAGGGGAGCCAAATAACGTTTTTTATGGGAAAGACATTTAGTGAATAAGGGCTGTTAGGGCTCTGAAGAGAATTACAGTGCGATCACCAAGGCTATTATCTTAATCAGGCACCATCTCAACACCTCTCTCTTCAAGTCAACTAGCCCTACAACGGGATCTGTTTCCCAGTAGGAGAAATCCCCGCCCGCCAACTCCGAGCGGCTGGGAAGCGAGCGCTGTGGGAAACAGCAGCGCCGAGGAGAGGCTATTTTGGGTGTGGGAACGCGGAGGGAGGAGGGGCGGCGCCGCCGGGCTGGGCGCGGGTTCGCGGGGAAGCCTCCAGCTCGGGCTGCCACGGCAACCGCGTCCAGGCAACGCGCCCGGAAGCGGCTCGGGCGGCGCGCGGCGGCTCGCGCCCCCTGGGAGCCGCGAACCCGGCCGGGCCGCGCGCCGGGCCAGGCGGCAGGCGCGCGCTGATTGGACGGCGCTCCCCGCGGCGCGGGCCCGCAGCCGGGCGTCCCGCACAGCCCAAGCCAGCCGCCGCCGCACCCAGCCGCGCCGGCGAGGACATGGGCAGCCGCCGCGCGCCCGCCCCCTGCGCCGGTGAGTGCCGTGCCCCGGGCCCGCAGCCCGGCCTCCTCCGGTGCCCGGCGGCGGGAGGTCCCTGGGACCGCCGGTGACCTTGGGGCAGCCGCTGGGGTGAGAGGCTTCGGGGAGAGAGCTGTGCGTTGCCCATGTGACATGCTGTTGGCGAGAGGCTTAACTGCATGCCAACGCGAAGGGATGAAGTGCACAGAGCGCAACTGGCATTGCATTTTTGCGGGGGCCGGGGGGTGGGGGGTATTTTGCATGCTAGTGAACCAACAGAAGCCCCACAGAAGCCCCGAGAGACTGTTTGGGTGAGCAGGGGTGGTGCACAAATTGCCAGGGGTTAGTGGTAAGTTAGCCGTCTCACTACTTAGCTGAGTGACCTTGGACCGGTTAACCTCTTGGCTCCCCCCACCCGCCTTCTCATCTCTGAAAGGAGCGGTTGGGGTTCTTTGCAGTTCCCTGGTGGTGGTGGTGGTCCATTGAACTGTGAGCTGAGAAATAGCCAAGTACAGCTCTGCAGATAACAGGAATACAAGACTTAACCATCTTTAGTCTACAGGAGGTTTCCATTAATTGGCTTTCAGAGTGGCAAGAAATGTTCTCATTTTATGGAAGTTTACGGAGAGAAAACAGTGGGTGGTCCAGAGAGTGGCTTCTCCACATGCCCGGGTTAAAACCTCTTGGGTGCTTTAGAGTCACGAACAAAATCAGGGTTAATATGTCTTGAGTTCTTCTTTTGTGTAGTTAATCTAATAGGAAACTTTGTATTTGAATAGGTAAAATCAAAACCCAATAGGGGCAGGCAGCAGTAAATTAAGTGAGTCATTTCTTCAGTATGCACGAGGGTGTGTGTGTGTGTGTGTATATGTGTGTGCGGGCGTGTGCCTGTATGCCTGGCTGCGCTCACGCTCTCATCTTAAAGTCTGTGTATGTCAGTGTTAGAAATTATTTCATAGGAGTAACCAGAGAAATGTTAAGTAATGATTTGAATCCACAGAAGTGCAGCTTTCTCAAAAGCAGGGGCAGACATTTGCAACTTGTTCTTACTGAACATTTGTGTCAGCCTTCTGGGCCCTGTCTTGGTGTGTGTGTGTGTGTGTGTGTGTGTGTGTGTGTGTGTGTGTGTGTGTGTGTGAGTGGAGGGTGGAGGGTTCTGTCTTGGAGTGTGTGTGTGTGTGTGTGTGTGAGTGGAGGGTTCTCCGGAGACCCAGTGGGCTGTGACACCTCTTCTATTTTTAGCTTTGGCTGGTGCTAAAAAGACACTCAGGCCCTCTTTCTATACTCTTAGTTCAGAAACTTCTGCTTCCAAGGAGAGGGAAGGAAGGAAATGCTTTATCCCTCTCGCAGGTCCCTAGGATTGCCCCTTCTGGCTTTCTGCTCTCATGTTACCCTTGATATTCATTCCAGTCTGATTTCATCTGTACAAAAATGTGGGTTGGGAAGACATTTTCAATGTTAATGAATAAGCTTCTGCAAGCTTGTTTACCTGAGGGTTTAACAATCTGTAAAGGTTTACATGTTAGAAATCTGATCACATTCAGATAGAAAATTCCTTCCTGCAGGAATTCAGCCACCAAGCCCCTCGTTAAATGAATCACACCTCGTTACACACATTACCCTCATTAACACACTACTCTGCCTCCTCTCTCCCTAGGCCACTAACCTGTGTATCTCCAACCTGGTTTTCTGTCTGTTGTTTCTTACATCCCGCAGCCATACTCCTGTATTTTCCTTTTTCTGCAGCCAAGCCCATCTCCTGTCCCTCCCTTAGCACCAGAGCCTGAGCGAACAGCTGCCCTCAGAACAGCCCTCTCACATCTCACCCGAGCAGGCATTGGGTTTCCCCGGGCTTCTCAGTGTCACCTTCAAATTATTAACTGGCACTAACAAAGTCTTCTCGTGAGAGGGTCACGCTGTCTGCTTGTACCCCATACGTCTTTCTTTTGATCAGTGCTTGACAACCCTCGTGGTTCCTCAGAATCACCTGGAGCACTTTTTTTTAATGTGGCTCTTGAGATTCCGAAACATACCAAATTAGAATCATCAAGGTGGACACGACCTACAAATCTTTATTTTAAAAATAAATCCAAAAAGAAAGAGAAGGATGAGGAGGAGGGAAGAGGGGAAGAGAAAACTCTCCAGGTGATGCTGACGTACCTCCGGAACTGGGGATCACTTCACTTGATGCTACAAAAAGGAAACAAACGTGAGCAAACAGTTTGGTTCTCTTCTCTGCTTTGTCTTTGACAACTGACTTTGGGTTTATATTGAGGGTGTATTTCATTGACCTTGAAGTTCCTCAAGATCCTCACATCAGCTCTTCTGGCCTTAGTTTATGTCAGCGACTCACATCTTGCACTTGTTTAGTCTTGGGAACTTTTCCACCTTCAAGATGTGGACGTCAACTTGGACTTCAGCCTGCTTATGTGATTCTATTCACTCTCTGCCTCAGATTTTACCCATCCCTGAGAACGCTCGCCCCTTAATCGCTTGCTTTTCTAATCCCGTTATGGCTCCATTTCTCCACTTGGAGTCTCTCTGTTGCCAGCCATTGCAGTTCTGTCTGGAGTCCCAGAATCTTTTACTTTAACTTGTTGAACTCTCCTATTTCTGCCCTCAATCCAAAGTCACTCTCATTATCTGCTTTTCCTTCTCCCAGCCTGCCGAGTTTTCCAGGAGAAAGTCCCAAAGACCTTCAGACAGTTCCATTGCAAATTTATGCTGGCTTTAATTTCACCTAGGTCTTGCTTTTCTATGAAAAAAAAAGAAAAATCCATCTTTTATTAACTCCAGACTGCCTTCCTTTAGAAGTTATGCTAGACTTTTCCATTCCTTCAACTTCAGACAGTTTCCTTTCAGGAGATAGCCTTTTTTTTTGTTAATAAAGTTAAGGATGCCCATGTCCTAGTTTACTGCCTTCTACTTCAACGTAAGCTCCCAGGGGGCCCTCCTCACCACCCCAAGCATTTTTCTTTAACCCACCTTTGTTTACAAGTCCTTCCCCCAAGATTAACACACATATACTCCACACTCTCTGTTTTCTGGACTTTTCCCCTTCCTTCTTGTCTCGTTGGGACTTTGTCATCCCCTTTCTCCAGTTTCTTTGGACCCTCCTTCCCCTACCCCAACCCTCACCCCATCATATGTTCAAGTCATCCTCTCATAATAAAAGAAACTATGCTAGAGGGCCAGCCCTGTCCAATAGAGCTTTCTGTGATGATGGAATTATTTTCTAACTGTGCTGTCCAGTGTCGTAGTCACTAGCCACATGTGACTGCTGAGCGTGTGAAATGTGGCTAGTGTGACTGAGGAACTACATTTCTAAATTTTGTTAATTTTAAATTGAAATGGTTACCTGGGGCTGATGACCACTCTACCTGGTAGTGCAGTTCTGCGCCCTGCTGCTGTGTTGAACTGGCCTCACATTCTCCTCTCTTGTCCCCCCACTCACTCATAGTCTCATCCTTACCTTTCAGTTGAAACTGCTTTCCTGTTGGGCTCCCGCAGAGGTGTCCTGGTTGCAGAGCCGAGGCCTGTCCACTGTCTCTCTCCTCCTTAAGTTCTGCCCTGTGCCTGCTGCCGGCAGTTATCCCCTCCTGAGCCTCTTTCGTTCCTTGTCTCCATGACGCTGGTTACCCAGGTGCAACTCAGAACCTCCGTCTTGCTCCTGACTGCTCAAGGTGTGTTCTGTCCTGCCTTTTCCAAAATCCTGTATGGAATTGGATACCCAGAAGTCTGACTCTTTTGTCTCTAAACAGCCACTCATCCTGGTTTCTTTAGTCATTTTTACCTATTTAAATTTTTAATTTTGAAGTAATTCAGATTTACTGAGAGGTTGTGAGAATAAACAATTCTCACATACCTTTCTCCCGGGATCGATAAACATGAACTATTTGCTACATTTGCTTTATTCTTCCTGCTCTATCGTACTCTCTCCCCCACCCAACACACATTGTAATTTTTTCCAAACCATTTCACAGTTAAGTTGTAGGGTTACTCTGATATTCCTTAACCTTCCCCCTCAAACACTTCAGTGTATATTTCCTAAAACACAAGATATTTTCTTGCACAACAAGCATCCAATATCAAGAAATTAACATTGATTGTGTACTGTTGTCTCATCAACAGATCTTATTCAAGTGTCACCAACAGTCCTAATAACAGAAAGAGGGGGAGCCATTTTTTTAGTTTCTTCCCGGTCCAGGATCCAGCCCAGGGTCCAGTGTGGTGTCAGCTGTCACACCTCTTTAGTTACCTTTAGTTCGGAGGCTTCTCAGTTGTTGCCTTTCATGACCTTGATGCTTGGGGAAGGGTACAGGCCTGGTGATTTGTAGAATATACTTAGTAGATCTGCCTGGTGTCTTCTTAACATAGACTCAAGTTATCTGTTCGTTACTGGGGAGGTACCCTACAGGGGAGACAGCATGTCCCTCTCAGTAATGACTTCCATGCTGCCATCACCCTCTCTGTAACCTGCTCTTGGTCACTTGGGTTATTCTGACATTTCTCCTCTTCTTCCCACCCCTGCATCAGTGGCCTTTGAGTGTTGAGGTGCGCCCTGCACAGTCTCCCTCAATAGGTCCCTTCCTTTCCATTTGTACTGTCTCCTGTTTGCAGAGTCCAGGCCTCCACACGTGGTCCCAGCCTTATCTCCCACTGCTTACCAACAGGAACCTGTGTGTCCAGTGATTTTCACTAGTCAGCGCTGCCTCTGCCTTGTCCTCCCTCCACCCTTTCTCATGCTGCTGTGTGTTCACTGAGCTGCCCCTTTGAATATGCAACTCAAATGCCTGCTCTTCAAATGCCTTTCCCGGTGGCCCAGTTCAAAACGATCCTGCCTTCCACCCCGAGCAGCATGGTTCCTGCCATTCACGTGCACGTACCTTCCTCTCTTCTCTTGCATGGTGGCTCGTCCGCATAGCCCCCTACTGAACTGGAGCTCCTGAGTGGAGGGCTGTGACTTGTCTTGTTCAGCACTGTAGAGGCTCAGTCCTTTGTTAACTGGACTAAAT